TTTCCATTAGTATGAATAGAGCCTTCTCACCGTCATTTCTTCTGACAAAAAACGCCTAAATTAAATACTTTCAAGATTTTGCTTTGGACTTGTACAGAAGCGCTGCAAGCACGATGAACTTCACATTGTCAAATGGGTGCTAAGGTATTTTTTATGGCTTTGACAATGGTCTCATTTACGCCATATCTGTGGTCTCGTATTATCCACTTCGGATTTTGGGTTGTACTAATCTCACCTATCGCATTTGCATCTATCATCAGCCCCGAATGTCTGGCTTTGCGTCCCCCTCATCCTCCGTCCTAACTCTTTCCCCTCCCTCCCCCTTTTACACTCCTCCTCCCTACACCCCTCCATATAGCCTAGATTGCTGACGAATTCCAGGAACCAAGTCAATCGGTCTGGCTGCCTGACTGACCGGCCAAGCGAGTGACTCTCCTCTCCGCAATTTGGGATGATGAATTGTCGAGATGGTACTATGTCAAATGAGCTGGTCCCCAACTCATTGGCAAAAGGAAACCGTTCAAACGCTTTCTGAACAGAGTTTTTACCTTCAACCTTGACAGCTATCGATGGGATGGTTTTCTCCTCATTAAATTTTTAGTAATGCAAAAACGAGATGGAAAAAACTCCCTTTTATTTTTTTTTGTATTAACTGCCGTTTATTGGGCCCCGTGGTGGCAAAGGAAGACACACTGGGTGTGGTCTGATCCCCGTGGTCCAGTGAAAATCGATTAATAAGCGGTAAGTCGATTGGCTGATTACACTGAAGCACAGCGCCAGGATTGGTCAGCGTGAAGGAGAAAGGTTACTGGTCTTTACCTTGCCCTCTTTTTATTGGGAGACTAAAAAAACTTCAAAAATAGGATTTTTAAGTCACTTGGAGGGTCAGTAGGACTATATTTATCCGAAAGCATCAATACTGCCCATTGCTAAGTTGCGCATTTTGAAGTATGCGATATTCTAAGGGACGAATTGGACCGCTGAGTCTCATAAATTGTCAGTAGACGAGGCCGCTCCAACTTCGATAGTGTCCTTTTACCTCAATCAGCCGGAGTGCCGCCTTTGATGTCCCCACGACGTGATGTTGATGATGCTGGTGGTGGTGATTAATGCTACCGCCTTCAACTAGCTACGTTGGTAGGTGGGTGGGTGAGTGGGAAGGCGCTCCGACAAGGGCGTGATTGACTTTTGTCTAAAGAACACAAAAGGGAGTCAGAGAGTGAAATTCAGCTAAATTTACCAGAAAGTAGTCAAGACATGATCACACCTAATTCTATTGGTCAAGGTCCACTCCACTTTCTTCCTCTAAAGAGGCGGAGGAGGGGTTATTTTCTATCACCCACAGAAGGACTTCAAAATAAATTGATGCTTTACAGACTAAATGAAAAGAAGTAGGGGCTACGTGAAGATGTTTCGGCAAGACAAATGTTACGGTCTCCTGAGGGAGGAGGGGTCCACTAAAAGCCGATGTGTTCCGATCAAGAAAAATATGGTACTTGGAGGAATTCCTTTTTGATTTTGCCCAGTGCTTGTCATAAAGCTGTAGGTTTATTGCTGCAGCGCAAAGTATCTCCATAAAAATTTCAAAAGGTGTGCAACCACTTCTACGTAACTTTAAAGAAATGAAAAGAAGTGAAAGCCCACTTTTGTGTTCTTGACTTTAGTTAATTAAACAAACAATTGGACTTAAATGAATTTTTTATAGATAGAATACTAATTCCATTTTACCTATCCCATTCTACCTTGCTATATAATGCCATATATCCCTAATCATTGATCCTTCCATCCACCGGTCCGCTTGCACACCGAACTATCTCCCCACCCGCATATATTCCGTATCCACCCATCCATTCTATTCACCCATCCACCGATTTATTCTTGTAAGTCTTTTTCCAGATATGCCTAAGTACCCAAGAGTAGTAATGGCATTTCATGGCTCCACACAGCCTCTACTTATATACTAAAGTGTGAACAATTAAAAAAGAAGCATTTCAAGAGCTTTAAACACTTCAACATTAACAAGACACCACCAGAAGTACTGACGGTAATGGAATTAGCAAGGTGGGTGGAATTGATTCCACTTGCCA